TGAACATATTCACAAAGACCAACAAGCCCTTCGATTCCTAAAAATCTTGTCGTACAATTGAAGTATTTAACGACGAGTACCTATGCCATTTTACAGTGGACTAAGCCTGCTCGCAAATTCACAGAATTATCATAGTACCTGTGAGCTCCAATTACAAGTTAATAAGTTAAAATCCAATAGGGAGACAAAGGACATTGCACATTTGCACAACAACAACTCTATTGTAAATTCCTGTTAGACATTTTTGATCCATCTCTTAGTCTTTACCTTATAGCTATAAGCTATTTGAAACTAAATACCACTATAATACTAGTCTCAATCAACCATAGCATTATAATAATAATTATTCATCATAATTATTTCTTAATTAGTCTGAAATTGTATACTGTAGAACTTAGTTTGGTCATTGGGCCGGGCCCTAACATCGCTCATTGTGGTTTGTACTATAATCCAGATCCACGCAGTAATAAAAATAACTAATAATTTCTGGGGTAGAGTCTCACGCTATTGTATATCGACCGAAATTCGAAACTGAGCCAGGACACACAGACGAGTACTATAATATATTAGCTATGATGTATCATACACTGTGCCTCTTCAATACAACGAATTCGCAGGATTCATAGAACCGTCACATTTTCTATCGATTTAAATTTCCAAACCCCAGATATGTATGTAATGGCATGTAACAGTTTTAGGGAGAAGAATGGGATAGAGGGGGAGCGATGTTGCAACAGTTTCGATAAATAATTATAATATATGACGTCCGGTGGGAGGTGTTATTCTGTTATCGTGAATAGGTACCCACTACAAGTTGAAAATCTAAAATTTAATATTATTAACATAACCTATCAGTTATACTAGTTTTCATTATTGTGGTGTACGCCAGGATCACAAGTTCAGGAAGTGCCTTCGATCCACTTTCGTATAGTCGTGCGTGAGCGAGTGTCCTCCTCCTAAGCTGCTTAGTTTCTGTAGTTTCTGATAATAATATGTATAGGGTGAAATATATTATTAACACGTTGACTGCCATGCGGCCGCCGGCGGCCTCAAGAGTATATTTTATTATTTGTACGCCAAGTTCATTTTTCAGTGTCATTATAAATGTGTGTATATACTATTGAATTTGAAAAAAAATTTAAAATGTTAAAATTATGTTTTAAACATCAAAAAATTGCAATTATTCTCGTCACAGCGCATTTTCTAGATCATTATTGTAGCGCCACGAAAAAGTTAATAATATAAATCCAAATTAATTTAAGGCAGGTTATAGGCCGTATGGCCTCCTACGGATAATATGGTGTGGCAGCCGGCCCGGCAGTCTAAAAATTATCAATACCTAATTGTTTTGATACGGACGCCGGCGGCCGCATGGCAGTCAACGTGTTGATACCCTACATTCTGTTATAGTTGTTTATCGATAAGTAGTTTTAATAATAACTAATAATCAAATTCACACTTTTTTCTATGTTTCTATATTATTTTCATCACTAGATATTTTTTACTAGCATAAACTTGGCACTACGGTTCTAACTGCCCTGTTCAGATAAAAATATTTATTCTACGGAAACAAACCATATACATTATACAAGTAAAACAACAAAATTCGACGTGATAGGGATAAAAATAAGAAAACACTTTGTGAAGAATGCTACAGTTTTCGTTAACCTAGGAGGTTGAACTCTGTATCAAAATTCCATACGATGAGTAATTATTGATTTTGTTAAGAATGAAGATAAAAATTAAAATGTGAACTGTATAGTCTTGGCCTCGTAAAATTACCTTGCAGACCACTGTGCGCCGTGCAGGATCAGTACAAGATCAAGATTTAACTATAATAACATTGAAGAATAATTAATTTTAATTAATTTTAATCTATTTAAATTTCTTTTTATAAAAAAAAAAAACAAATCCTTGGCACGGGCAATGCCGGACGGGACAGCAAGTAAATTATATACCTAGCTAGTATTATAATATTATAATATGTCATGGGCTACGAATTCTTAGAAAAGATTTTTAAAAACTAGCTAGAATAAAAACATGCAGTTCTGATGCAATAATTTATTATTGTCACGAAACAACAAACTCGTTAAAAAACTGGATGTGCTTAATAAGAAAACACACACATTGGTTTCTTACAGTTCTACACAAATTTTGCTCTGAACTAAGCCCATACTAAGGATTTTACAACTTTCCAAAAAAAACACCTGCGAGATCATTGGCAAATCCCGTATTAAAGACAGATTAAAAAAAAAAAAAAAACGTTATTCAGAATAAATTGTTATTTTGAATGATTTTTTTAGATTCCATGTACGTTTATCGTTTATTGATAATATTTAGTTATGCCTTATTGATATATCACGTTTAATGGAATTCAATTATTTTCGTTTTTCGTTTGTTGATTATTTTTATTTTTTGAAATTGTTTTCCTTTATTTCGTTATAAATAACGAAGCCCTTAAACAACATGGTATTCTTGATTCTATTGAATTATTTGAATGGTTAATTTCAATATACTTAAACTGAAAATATCATACAAGTAATATAAATCTGTTTCAAATGTTCAGTTTTAAAATTAAAACTATTAATTTTATAGTTCCTCAGTGCTCTAACAAATGAAATGTATATGTATATTCATTTTTATTCACGTTAAGAAAAAAATTATTTGTTAAGAAATATATTTTTCATTGAATATTGTATTAACGTGATTTGTTTGTACCTATACTGCATTGTTATTATTTCTCGCGTTATTTTTATAGATAGGTAGGTACCTACCCATTTCACATAAGTTACAACAATATGTCCACTTTTCTGCTGGTTGTTTTATCTTTGTTATGCCATATTGTACTATAAATGCTCATGCTAAAAAGTTTATTCAAATAAATAAATAAAATAAACTTCGTGCTGTTTAATGGCGAAACAATTAAAATGCCAACAGACATAAATAAAAAAAAACATAGTTTAATACTATTTTTATGTGTATTACCATCCATTACAAATGTTATAATATTATAGGTACATCAAGTTTTACAAAACATAATTTTTTTGTCAGACAGTCAGAAATCGTGTGCATATAATATCCGTCGGATACACAACTCTGATAATATTATAATGGTGAATCGTGTGTGGAAAATAAATATAGCTATAATACACTCACTCGTTGAAAATCATATCATTATTAAACTATGTACAGAACAGTATAACATATTAATATATTATACAATACTTTATCTAAGGTATACAAATATTATACTTTTTATTTGGATTTATCGTTTTTTGTTTCGAGTTACCCAACTTCCCGGTACATAATATTTTTAAAGCAGACTGAAATCTAACAAAAACAAAATATTATGTTATTATAAGTGAAATAAATTTGACCTTGCGCCGCGGCACCAACGATACATCAATAATATTATTATTGCATATTATACATTTATACCCATTATCCGTCTCCTGAGCAATGTAATAATATACTGTGTATATTATGCAACTTAATCGAATTTTTTAAATGTCGATATTCGAAGATATTCGACACCCGAGTAAAGGGTGATAAAAACTCCACTGGTTATTGTCATAGTCTTTTTAACCATATTATTATAGATAAGCGCAGTTAATGATTTATTTCACAGGTCAACGGACACAGTAGTGTATAGTACGTATCATACCATTCGAAATTTTTAGAGATGTAAGTTTGTATTATACAACTGTATACAATTGTATGATACAAGGTATTATATTATACAATGTATCATATTAAATTATGCAATGGGTATAAAATTATTTTATACAGATCTTATTTAACAGAATATATTTAAAAAATATATAGATATATTTAAATTAATATTATTAGAAAACCAATTATATATTTAGAATATAATTTACTAAGATCTGTGTGACTTCATTATTTTAAATTACAATTATTTCTAGTCAGTAAATCAGGATTGGTAGCATGACTTTAAATGTTAATTTTCTCTAAAATAATTGAAGTATTATTGTGTTTTTTTTTTTAAATTATTGAGCCATTTAAAAAATGGTCATAATATTTACAATAGTTTTGTAAGCTGAAAAATATGTATACAATCATTATAGTTAATTTATAGACTCGACTACTGGCTACAGGGGCTGCATATATATTTGATGTATAAATAAATTTGATAAGCACCTTATTTTTCATATCAGTGTTGGGAGATAGTGAATGAGAAGGAGAAAGTGACTGATCCTCAAACCTTTTTGGGAGGTCAACTTTTATAGTAACAAGGTTTTTTTCATCAATATACGTAATTGTATGTCTCTTCTCTCTCTATATATAAAAGGATAAAGTGATTGACCGACTGATCTACCAACGTACAGCCCAAACCACTGGACGGATCAAGCTGACATTTGACATACGGATAACCATGATGTCCTAGGCGTCCTACTTAACCTAACCTAAGAAAAGACTTTCAAACCTTAAAGTGGAAAATAATTGGTTGTAGGAATACTATAGTGTTCATACTATCATCTGTCCATCAAAATAAAATTTAAATATACGTTTTATTTTGGGAACGATTTTTTTTTTAGGGGGTTTTTAATGACCATCGACCATAATTACTTATATTAAACAGTCCTTGGATGGTCGTGATATAATTTGATATTTACTGTATAGTAATGGTTTTGTGGAAAAATGTTTAGCGAAGTGATATTTTATTGCACAATATAGTTACCTACACGGGAAATACTATATCATGTTTTATTTTATTTTGAATTTATGAATAAAAAGTTATGCTTTTATTTTTTATACGAATAACAGGTATTTTAAGTAATCTAATATTAAATATCTTATACTATAAAAAATTTAAAAATATTTCAACATTAATGTGACATAATAGTTTAAATTACGTAAAATCAGTATATGTTGTAGTCTATTCCTAGAAATCCTCTCAATTTCGTCCACTGGCCACAGGACCAGCATTGACAGAATCACGCATGCGCGCACTTGATACACACCATATATTGAAGCAGTCTATTATATATTACAGGTGTTTCCAAGAAATTGCTGTTCAACTGTTGGTGCCTCTGGTCTTTCAGACGTGAGTACCTAACTGCCAACTGGATTGGGATGCATCGTTTTAGTTAATGATGAAAATAGATGTAATAATCGGATCGTGGAGTTGTAGTCCACATGATCGCCTTCAAATAGGTAGTTGTTATAGTTGTAAATTATCGTTTTAGCACACTGAAACAAAGAGTGATACTGGTGGATAGCTTTGAATGTAAACTATAGATACCGAAGTTTAAGTATCAACAAAGAAGTTGAAAACATATAATTTCGTAAATACAACTGTCATTTATATTATATGTAGTATTTTAGTATGTAGGTAATATCAATATGATATACCTATCTATTAAAAATATAATACTTGATGTGACTTCGAGAATTGGACTGGTTAGTAGACAAAAGATAAAAATACAACAGAGTCAGATAAAATTGACTAAAAACAATACGCGAAGTCCTTGTATATTTTCAAAACAAACCAATTATATTGCGTGAACAATACTAAATATTGATGGATATGTAAATTTTAAGGACAAAAAATATACACTTAGGTACATTCACGAGGTAGTGCTCACTGAAACTCTTAACAATCACATCTGAAATGGTCCCTGTTTAATTTTTTTTTGTATTGTTTTAAGTCCACCACTATAGCATCTACGTCTCTTATGCCCTTCGTGTGGTTATGACGTAATAGTAAATTATCACACTATTCTTGGAATATTGTACTTTTCTGTTGCACTTGTCGGATTTTGGATAATGATATTTATTATGTATTATACATCTACCTCCTACACATTACGTAATTCTCATATTTAAATCAATGACACTAGTCTTGCGTAGTAGTATTTATTTATATCTTACTTTATGGGCTCATGGAATAGTATTTACTCGACGAATAATGTTTCCTCAACATTAAAATTTATTATCTATAAATAAAAAAATGTAACTCTTTGTAATCATAACATATTTTTTTATCTAATTATTATTACTTTATTCTTCTGTTTTTCCTACTTCTTTGGCTTTTTACATGCGTTTCGGGCCCATTGCCTCAACAACATATTGTCTCCAATTCTCTCTGTCTATTGCCGTTTTTTCTGTATTCCTAACTCCCAATATCTTCAGATCTCTTTTTATTCTGTCTGCAAAATCTATGTCTAGGTCGTTTTCTGGGTTTCTTTGCGTTTGGTCTGTCTCCATGCAGTTATTATGTGTATTTCTTCATTCTATGACCTTTTTATAAATAACAAACGCTAAGAAACAAAAATGTTTGGCTCTATTATAACAGCTATTAAATTGGGAGTATTAAAATATACTTTAAGTTATTTTCAAATTAACGTGGAGGTGAATTAGTTAAGTTAAAGTCAATTTATTAAACAACAAACAAGCGAGTTGAGTTAATAAATTGAAATTAACTTAATTTTCAACTTATTAACTGGTTAATATATATCGCCTTGTATTTAACAAAATATTATAGATAGTATATATTTAAAAGTGCTATATGCAGCCGAGCAAATGCTGAACATGCCAGTGTGAAAGATTGTCAAATTATAAAATTAAAAAACCTTTTTTGAACTATTGTGTGAGGCAATAGATATAAAAAATAATATAAACATCAAACGAATATTACATACCTGGCTTTAAACATAATATAATGTGTAGGTATATAATAAACTTTGAGAAAAAATCTAACTGTAGATCAATTTATTATAATTTACATCATAGTATATTGTGAGAACGGTTTATATGGTTTTTATTACGTAGTTACGCCAAATTGGCTCCTTGCCATCGACGTGCCTCTGATATCATAATAATAATAAAAAGTATTGTTATCATGTTTATTGTAATAGTTTATACCTAGGTAGAAGGTGCTAGAAGGTGATCTATAAACATAATACGCAATAAAGGTACGTCTAGACGTCTAGCAGGAAAAAATACTTAACACGATTAATTTTAAACATTTCTAGAAACTATTAAGAGGACGTATCACAGATAAGAAAATACAATAGTTTAGAAAATTAAATATCTCAAAACGTATAGACAATTAGTATGTGTAACTTGTCCATAGTCAGCCACGTCAAAATGAAAAGGATTGAATTAATTCCAAATATAATCAACATTTATTGAAAAATATTTCTAGTGTTTAACAACATTATGAAATTTTACTAAGTCTAAACCACTGACAAAATTGAAAGAGCTAGTGAAAAGTCTTACTATCCAAGTACTACTTCTGTCAGTGGTCGACGTCCGTCAGGTTGTCGTGATTGTCGGCTCTCTTATGTCGCGTCCAGAAAAAAGAGACATTATTGTCTACATTTTAGTCACGACACGTAGTTAGGCATATAAAATATATTTTGTTATAATTTAGGTTATGGCGTTGTCAACAAAATCGCAGGAAAAATAAATACAAATGATTGTTTACAACAATGTTTGTCCAAGAAGAGAGTTTTGTTCCTGCTATATTTTACAGTGTATACTTATTATATACATGATCACTGTCCATGAGGCCTGACAAGTGACTTGCACAACCCATATTATATTTAACGTGAGCCATCGTGTATTGACACAACATCTAGTATGGACTACTTTTAGTATTATTTATACTAGCGTTAATATGTAATAAAATATTATAATATTATTATTTAAAATTGTTATTATTGTATTGGTACACACATGCAGTCACAATATAACGACTTATATAATATAGTTTAAGTACTATATGGAATATCACAGCTCGGTAAATATGAGAATTTGAGACGGGGCCCCAAAAAATATTGTTATCTGAAAATTTAAAACAAACACAAAAATTACACTAGAAACATGAAAATAAATAAATAAATTGCAATATGTATAAGATTTTTAGTGAATTTTTAAATTACACATAACAATACTAATAACGGCAATGAAATAAGACCTCCTATAAAATACTGTAAATATTTTTATTTAGATATATTTAATTCAGTATTAAAATAAACAATAACCATTTTAATAAGAACTGAATATAATTAATGAGGATGGCATATTGTACTTTGTATAATATGTTTTTTTTTAAAGACGATTAGTCCAAGCTTTTTGTAAATATTATATGAGTATCTACTAAGTATAATATATATTTAGTATAGTTAATAAAATACTGTAGCAGTATATCGAACAAAGGCATAAACAAATTATTGACAACCGTGTAATATAATCAGATACCCATTTAACCCAATTTCCCAACCTACATTAATTGAAAAAGACGAATCGTATTAATTAGTATTAAGTATTATGAATATACTTCCTGGGTTTGTGGCTATTAATAATCTTTGGAAGGGCTACTAAAAACGTCTTAAAATATGAAATTCATATTGCTATTTCTACTTTGATAAATAAATTCATTTTTATTTGAAAATGACAATACGAAATAATTCTTAGTCAAATTGAAAATGTACCTAGTTGAAAATGTTAAATGATTTTAGATAAACATAGAAACAATAAGTTTAGCTAATATAATTTCAGACTAATAAGTGAAAATCCACTAAAAATTTAACTTGATAATGTCCAGACTATTATAAACGTCATAATAATATGGTAATCATAACTTTGTATTTTCTCACTCTCCGATGATAAGAAAAAACTGTTTTTTTTTTTTTGGAAAGAAAACTTGCCGGAAAGCCAGTAACTTTTTTAATGTATTGGGAAAAAAATCATGTATTTATTTTATATCTTCTAACGTTGGTTATTAAAATTGTAGCGAGCTGTGACTTTATTAAAATATTATAAATAATCTGGACAAGAACTCTATTGCGCGTGGCCTCGAAACGTATATGTTCATAGATATATAACTACTTATATGAATATTATTAAAATAATTCACAATGAAAAGTGTTGTGTTGCCTCTGTAGAGATGACAACGACAAATAAGCAAGGGACATCCGGCACGTGCAGCGCATCCGGCACGTGCAGCGCGTGACCACCCACGGTAAGACCTTATATGGTCATTTAGTAGAATTATAGGCAGGGATATGATCCAAGTATAGTCATTATAAAAACGTCTCACGAATAGGCTTCGGCAGACGGACCAGCGACACCGAACTAGGCGAACTAACATCAACGAAGAGCTAGGAGCTAGGACACTAAAGTCACATCTCGCTAGTCTTCATTATTTAATATAGTCACTTTGGACTTAGTAATTTTATTGAGTTTTGTATTAATTAAATAAAAAGTATTCAAATTATAAAGAAAAGTCAAACTCTTGTTCATTTATTTTCAACACCATCAAACGGACGTAGTCTGATTGTTACAAAATCCATATAATTAATTAGATCGTACACTAGTTAAATCTAAATTGAACACATATTTGAGATGTCTACTGTTTAATTATTTAATAAATTATATTATATTGTTTAAAAGTGAATTCAATTAAGAAAGACATATGAACATTTTTTGGTCAAAACTTTAACTACCTTGACTATAGGTTTAGTATGAAGCCATATATACTATTCTTACAACAATAGTTCTTAACCACAAAATGTTTTTTAAAAATTGTTCTTGTATTAGTTTAAATTTAGAATTATGGTGAATTTTTAAAATTGAATGACGTTGTTTCTACTTATTTGTTTAATATTGTTAAATAAAAATTGTTGTTTTGGGTATTAAGACTTGACATTTTAATACTAGCGGTAACCCTCATATATTTTATTTTAAATACATAGTGGGCTGAACCTAGGAACAATGAAACATTATGATGGATTATTAAGGTACCTAAATTATGAATATAAGGATTTAAAAAGTCAGAATAAAATAAAACTAAGTGTAGAATACTGCAGATTGGTAGAAATAAAAAAAAAAATGAAAATTCAGTGGTGGCTAATATCTCGATTGGCAATGGATAACAAACTAATAAACGGGAGAGGAGCAGGTTATATATAGGTAGTTAGAGCGAGTAATGTACATGATATAATTAGTATAGAGATCAAACAGAATTTCTCATATATTGAACTCCTGAATTGACATTTTTCAATGATTCAGAGGAATCCAGTTTGATTGTAGGTTTAT